GGAATGCTAAAGGGCAACTGATTAAGACAATAAAGATAAATTCATCAGCTATATTAGAGTTATCGCAAGAGCAAAAGTGCCTATCACACTTAGAAATTAGAAGAAGGCAGATCAATCTACGAGGTAGTATATTTGGGAACAAGTAAAGGTATATTGTTAACTTACCATTATGTGACTATTGTGCCATAATAGTTTATCAATTTACTAATAACATGCTAATGTTTTGCAGTCAACATTTATAATTGATGCTAGTCAAAGGAAGTATGTCCTTCAAATAGCTGAGAGAGCAATGCATTTTTTTTTATATTTTGTGGGATCAAAATATATTAAAAGAGCTAGTGGAAACATTAGTTCCATGGTCCCCACTTTAATTAGACATTTGGTAACCCAACAACAATAGGATGAATTTGTTGCATCTCATTTCTAAATAGAATTTCAGGTGATTTTACTTTAACTAATTGATTTTAATTTTCTAATAATATTGTGTTATATTATAATTTTAATTGATTTTAATTTTCTTCACAACAATTGAGCCAACAAAATCAGGAGTTGGTTAAAAAAATTCATATCCTTTTAAGAAAGGCCGTGTGGGATATCAGGCATTGAGGAAAAGATGGTATTTTCTAATTACTAATATTTACTAATCTTAAAATAAATCCATATTTATTTGTTATATTTGCTAATTACTAATTATTTTGCTATTGATATGCATATATTGAGCGAGAAGGCACGGGAGTTAGTAGCATATCCTGCCATGTTCTTTTCATAGAAGGCCAAACCAACAAAGAGGGTAACATTACAGATGAGCATGTTCAGGAGATAGCTAATGAATGTGTAAGTATCAATATTATTAATTTGACATAATAAATTCAATTTTTTCATTCAAACAAATAATTTAGGTTTTTCAATTTGTGTCACACAAGTTGCTATCTCAGATGAAGTCTCAAAGGGTGAGTGTCCTGAGGATGAAGATATCTTCAGTCAGGCATTGGGTAATCTTGACCACCCTGGACGTGTTAGGGGTGTCAGTTTTGGCATCACCAAAAAGCAAGTATTTGGGATTACGAAGCCATCAAAAGGTGCAATGCCTTCTTCCACTGAGTTTAATGCACTAAAAGATGAGGTTGATAGGTTGCATCACCTAGTTGATGTGTTGCTCATGTCCCAGGGAAAGATATCCACTCTTGTGGAAATTAGTCTTAATAGTAAGAGAGACAATTGCACCGTAACTCATCCTTCTCATCCGAACCTTCCTGAGGTAATATTAATAATTTCTTTAGTTAGATTCATTATTGTATTAATAACTTATATATGTTTCCATTGCTTTAGGGTGAAGCCAAATGCGAGTTTTTGGCAAACAGTCCAGATCGCCATGTGGTTGCAACTGGTATAATGTATAATGTCCTTAAGGGCACTATACATAATGTGCCAATTCCTCTGGGCCATGTACGAGTTTTTCTAAGAGTTTTTTTTGATGACAACTATTAGCTGCCCATTCCCATAAGGATGTGATGACTGTAGGAGACGTTTTAGGCACCTTTGTTGCATGGCCTACTGTCCTTATAAGGCCGATATCTAACAAAGATAAGGTGTATATATATATATCATTTATAAGACTGATCTGAAACAAAGATAAGGTGTGTATATATATATATAATAACTTTTAATCTCTAACTAGCTCTGTTATATAGTTCAAAGAAAAAGACTTCCCCAACAAACAATCGACTACCCATGAGTCAAAGATTATCACACCTCCTTTGCTTTAAAAGATAGAGCCTCAATTGTCACGTAAATTCCTGACTTCACTAGGGGATATGCAGACATGCAAAGGAGTATTCATGATTTTATTATTGTAGATGTCCCATTCAAGGATGGCATGTATGACAGAGATCATATCAATCACATAACGCTCAAAGTGGTAGATGAAGTACTCCACCATGCCATGATTAGCACAACTGTCATGGATTTTTATTTGAGGTACTTCTTCTGCACAAGAGTGGTCATTTTTTTATACTAATATATACTAATCTATTTTTATCACTGTATTCATCTATTTTATATACTAATCCATCATATACTTATCGTGCCATGCAACCTTACTAGGATGTTTGTCTTCATTTGTCCCTATGACATTGTTGCTTTCCGTGACACTAGGGCTCTGATCGTGAAGATCAAGCAAAGCAACTGTGCGATTCATTCAAAGCTAAGACTACTAAAAAGGGGGGGAGGTTATTCTTGATACCTTACGTACAAGGCTAGTTATTTGTTATATTTAATGTATTTTCTCAATTTTATTAACTATTTTAATTTATTATATATTCTTTATAATTGTTAATTATTTTAAGGATCATTGGATGCTGATTGCCCTCGATTCGGTTGAAAAAAATACGAGAAATTGGCCATCTATTACTTGTGTTCTGCTGGTGGACAACCGGATAATACAAAGATATGATGGAATTAATCAACAAGTAAGCACATTAATTAAGTTCATACTTGTGTTTTTTGATATTTAAACTTACCAACTTTTGTGTTTTTAGGACTGTGTTTTTGTATCGCACGGATAAATCTTTAACTGTCCCTAAGATCAAACTATTTGACTAATTGTTCATATGGACAGTAATAAGAGTACGTGTTTAAACATTAATTATTCAAGTATTTATTAACAATAATTCAATATTTTAATATATTTTGTTTGTTTTATTTTTAAAGTGCCCGCATCAAAGACCAGATTCAGTGGACTATGGATATTGCATGATAAGATTCATTAGGGACATCATCACTCACGCCAAGATTTCAATCCCTACGAAGGTTCAAATTTAATTTAAATATACATTTTATATATGGCCAAATTTCATTAGTTAGCTAATTAACTTTGTTATGGTTATAATTTAAATTGCAATATTATGATGATGCTTATTGTGAAGAATTTAGGGATGCTCACATCAATGAAGTCGTGGAAGAGTGGTGCCAACATGTATTTCAACTATGGATCATGCAAAATTCACACATTAATCCTTAGTAGGTGCACATTTGGTCTAACTTGAAGCAAAAAGAATGTGACTTAGGATAGAATTATTGTTTCATTTTTTAGGATAGAATTTTGATTTAGGAATAAAATTTGTAACTTTTTTGTTTCCAATTAATGTGTACTGTGTATGTGTATATATATAAATGTTCTTTTAATTTTAAAAAAATGTTGCTGATAATAATGTTTGCTAGATTGTCTAGATTATGAAATGTCAATTTTGTTGCAGGGGGCTGCTTAAAACACAGCTTCTACATATAAAAGAATTCTACAATATATTTGACAGTTATTTTGATAACCGTCAAATATGTACATATATTTAATGGTTATTTAATATAATCGTCAAATATAATGGGCAATATTTGATGGTTCTCACATATAACCGTCAAATATGGCCTTGTTTTTCATTCCCACCTAACTTTTGGTAACTTATACTTGATGGTTATTAAGAATCATCAAGTATAATGACACATATTTAACAGTTAAAATAACTGTTAAGTATATAGAGCTGCATAAATGAAGGGGGCTTATTTAATGGTTTTTAACTGTCAAATATATAGGAAAATAACAATCAAATATGCATAATTTTGTAGTAGTGATTTGAGTTAATCTATAGTGACATTTATAAATTATATTACTAATGATAGACATTACTAAAATATGCTAGATCACTAACTAGGTCCAATCTTCTTGTACTATTTTAGTCACATATATCTCATTTTATTGACGTGTGACTTTGTTACAAAATTTGTGACAGATACTTTAGTGATGGATGATTATAAGACAATGTTAGTGATAGATGTTTTAGTGACAAAAGATTTTGTCACAATTGTAAAGATGAAAATTTTAGTGATAAATGTTGTTGTTGTAAATTTAGTGATAGATGTTCTTGTGAAGGATGATTTTGTTGCAAAATTAATGACAATAGCTACCGTCACATGAATTAGTGACACTGTATTTCAGTTTGATTTAGTTACAAATTTAGTTGTCACAAATCATGATTTTTTTTAGTATTGAAGTAGATCATGTGTTTAGTATCTATTTGTTTAGGATAAAAAAATTATTTTCTTTTTAAATATCATTGTATGTTTAGTAATTTGGTCATGTTAAATTTTGTTAGTACCAAATGTAGACAAATATAGTTTGGGGTTGAAAATATATAACTCCTTCATTTAAAAGAAAAAATTTTAAAGTTAGGAGGCTATGACTCTCCCTCATCTTCCTTGTATTTGCCATTGCTATGTAATCTAAAATGCCAATGATTTTATTTATGATTAGTTTATTAAATATTTTGTTTTGATTTTGATAAATAATCTTAACCCAAAAAAGTTGAATTTAATTTTATGTACATTGGTGGTGATATTAATATCGAAGATTGATATTTAAAATTCAAATTAAGTATATATTGAATCATTAAAAACCTTAATGCCTAAGTTATTAATTCTTTTGGTTACTTAAGGTTTCATCATAGCCCACAATCGTAATACTAATCTCTCAAAAAATAGAGCATAAGTTGTTAATTTCAGTCATGTCGAAAATTGAATGATACTTGACTTAATAATAGTACTTCTTTTACTTAGAACGAATATAAATATAAAATATAACTAATTATTTGTGGCAAAATATTTGAATCCAAAAGACCATTTGTTATATTATTTTTACTTTTTAAATAGAACCCAATGATTTAGTAATTAAGTATTTGAATAATAAAATGCAAACCAATTTTTTTGGAAATAATAATTTTAAAAATTAAATAATTATTCTCTATAGGTTGTTTTCATTTTTAACAGCCAATGTGCTCTATTCTCTTAAGAAGCAATCACTATAATATTTAAAAAAAAAACATAGAAGCAAAGTAATTATTATGCTGAAGTAAAATTGTTTGACAGGTATGTTTTCTTTGGATGAAAAGCTTCGCTGGCATTAAAACATAAAGGAGACTACAGACGACACAACTTACAGGGCTACGAAAAGATCAACAACTGGAAAAAAAAAAGGAAGAAAAAACCCATAACAAAAGCAAACCAGAAACAAAACAGTAAAACAAGTGAACCAACGCCAATTCATTCTCATGGAAGAGAAGCATCTGAGAACGCCATTGAAGCTTCGAATGCATCAGAGGTCAGAATAGCAGACAAAGAAGGTGATGGTACGTCAACCCACCCCAAAGGGCTCACCTCCTTAAAAGCAACAGCCACCAGTAGATCAGCTGCTTGGTTTCCCTGACGAGGAGTAAAGGAAAGAAAGAACCCAACCTTAGATGCCAAAGCCACAATACAGTCATGCAAGATACTTCTACTTCTACACTCCAATCATACAAATCAGGTTGATCCTGAGCAACACATGACATCAGAAGTTTGCAATCAGTCTAAAAACGATTTTATCATTCCCAAGTTAGATGCTAGCATAAGAGCACGCTTTAATGCTAAAGCTTCAGTCATAAAAGCTGATAATGACTTGATTTTATCAATGAATCCCCATTGAAAATCATGATATGGTCTCTGTAGATGATCCCTATGGTAGCAGAATCATAAATTCCAGAAAAAGCACCATCTAAATTAATTTTGAGGAATCCTACAGGAGGCACCCTCCAACTAGCAGTAATAGTAGTATCTCCAGGCGTCTCATCTACAGGAGTTTGACTAACGCAAGCAGTACGGACTTCACTGTGAGAAGGTATTGCTAAATCGATTACAGTCTTTGGACAAGGCTAAATGATTAAAGACTTCATCATTTCTTGCTTTCCAAATATACCACAAAGTCCAGCATAGAAGAGCTATATCTGAATCAGAAAATCCATTTTTTTGAGTCTAAAATAAACTCCCACCATGCCTCAAAACTTGTAATATTAAGATAATTGAACTTGAAACAGAAGGGGCTACCAAACCAAACAAATCTAATCCAAGGACATAGAAAAAAGAGATGCTCAATTGTCTCATTTTCAGTTTCACAGATTGGGCATACCTGAGTTCGAGAACGTCTTCTTTTAAATAAAGCAGCATTCGTGGCTACTGCTTTGGAGAGAATTCGCCACAAGAAATGTTGAACTCGAGGCACACATTGAATCCTCCAAATCTGTTTCCATATAGTATGAGAGATGGTCCAGGAAGGTCCAACTTTGGCTGAAAGATCACATTATGTTGCTTTTGCATCCTGGTAACCAAGTTTAACCTGATAAACTCCATTGTTTGCAGATGTCCACACAAGCTTGTCCTTAATACCATTACCAGGTAAAGGGATTTGATGGATGGCGTTCAGAACATGGCCCGGGATGAAGTGTCTAATGGGAGAGAGATTCCAAGCACCATTCACAATGAGGTCATTTACTTTCCCATAATTAACTATGAACGATTGATCATTTTTTGGTTTCTTGGGGAAATCAACATTGGGGACCCATTTATCACCCCAGATGCGGATGGAAGTACCATCTCTAACATCCCATAGTAAGTTTTTATTAAGAAAATCACGGCCATCTATAATGCTAGACCAACACCATGAAGCCTTGTACCCTTTTTAGCATCAATAAAATCATTCTTGGGAAAGTAGATACTCTTAAGAACACGTACCCAGAGCTCATTAGGTTTATGGAGTAATCGCCAGGCAGTTTTAGCGAGCCATGCATCATTCATCTTTTCAAAATCCCGAAAGCCCATTCCACCAATCAGTTTGGAATCTGTTAGTTTCCCAAGCTTTCCAATGAGTCTTCAGTCCATCTATATCACCATCCCACCAGAAATTTGCAATGAGACTGTTGAGCTCTTTACAAGTTTTGATAGGGAACTTGAAGCAGTTCATTGGGTAAATTGGTATAGCATTAAGAACAGATTTAATCATTACCTCCCTCCCAGCAAATGATAGGGTATTCTCACTCCAGCCTTGTATTTTGCGAGTTACCCTTTCTCGGATGTAGCCCAAGGCTTGATTTTTGGTTTTTCCCCACATGCTTGGGTACCAAGATATTTACCCAGTTTAGCAACTGCTTGAATTCCAAGAATCTGGCAAGTCCTCTGTTTGATGATTGGAGGAGTAGTATGCGAGAAGAAAATACTTGATTTATCTAGTAGGAAGCAATACAATAAGTATTCAAGATTTGTGCAAGCTTCCCACAATTAGCTTCACCTGCATTCATGAAAAAAAGTGCATCATTTGCTAAGAAACAGCATCTCAACACCGGACAAGTAGTGCTTAGCTGGATCCCTGCTATAGAGCCCTTCTGTTGGTTCATTAGTTATTTATTTAATCATTGTAAAAAAAACTTGGTAAAAGGAACCCACCTCTTGAACTCGCGCGCAGGGGGGGCAAATCAGCGGATTTCAACTGCGATTGCCCTGAGTTAGCTTGTCTCATGTAACCCGGTAAAAAAATCCAATGCCTCTTAAACTCACGCACAGGGGGGGCGAATCAGCTAATTTCAATTACGATTGCCCTGAGTTGGCCTGTCTCATGTGCGCGAGACACTTTTCCTCCAAGCCCATTTTACTAGCCCACTTCATTCCTTAATATATATACACTAAGAGATTCCTTCTTTTAGTCAATGTGGGACTTTGACACACACACTTTTGACACACATACAACAAATGGAAGCTACATTCTCACTTGAGACACATATGTTAAGACCAATAGATGCAACACAATGCATTATATTGTTAAACCATTGAGAGCAGAAACCGAATTTCAGTAGGACCAACTCTAAGAAATCCCATTCAATTCTATCATAAGCTTTGCTCATATCCATTTTTAAAGCAAACACATATTTCTGGCTATTTTTCTTCCTCCTCAAATAATGATAAACTTCATGCGCTACAATAATATTATCATGAATATAGCGGCCAGGTACAAAAGCTCCTTGGTTGGGAGATATATAGAAAAGGTCACATAGGGTTGGCAATAATTTTAGCTATAATTTTATAAGAAAAATTGCACAAACCAATAGGACGAAAATGGGTCACATGTTCAGGCTTATCAATTTTGGGTATCAAGGTAATATTAGTGTCATTAATCTCATGAAGAGATAAACTTCCATCAAAAAAATCCATCACCCATGAACAAATAGTATCTCCAATCTCTTTCCAAGATGAGTGATAGAATTTACCTGAAAACCCGTCGGGATCCGGAGCTTTATTGCTGCCAAGACTGAATGTTGCACTTTTAATCTCCTCTTTAGTCACAGGGGGCAAGCAATTGGTTGTTCATATGGTCATCAATTTTCGCCTCCAAGCAATTCAGAGCTTCTGACATTAGTCTGGGGCCAGAAGAAGTAAACAGAGATTGGAAAAAATATGCAATATCGCTTGAGATATCTTGCTTATCCGCTAACCAGACACCAAAATCATCTTTAAGCCCCAAAATACTATTATACTGCCTTCGCTTCAAAGCAGATAAGTGAAAAAATTTTGAATTCCTGTCCCCCGCTTTTAGCCAATTAATGCGAGAACGCTGACACCAGTACCGTTCTTCATTATCCATAGCCCTTTCAATAGCCGACTTTAGATCGTTTGCTCTCAGGATAGAGTCCTTCGTCAAAATGCCAACTAATACGTATGTTGAAATATTGGACAAAATTATAAATAAATATAAATTAATGAATTAAAAATTATTTAAATTTAAATTACAAATTATCTAGTGATACATATTAAATTAAAATAAGATAAATTAACGTATTATACATAAATTGTAAAGGATTCGGGGTGATGACATTCAATTTATATTCAAATTTTGAATTGTTATTAAAATATAACAAATATAAAGAATAGTAGGATAAGAAAAGTTTTTAATGATATAAAAAAGGCTAATAAGCGAATAAGAGCAGTTTAAGTTGTGATTATGTATAGCATGATCCAAATCACTTGAGGCCAACTCAACGTATAAAGATATATGGCAGGATACTGATCCAGGCTCTCTCCCGGTATTAAAAATATAAAAAATATTGAAACTATCATTTTAGGACCCATATTTTTCTATTTTATTATTTAGAAAAATGTACTTATGCTGCAAAAAAAATTGTGGATTAGACGGAATTTTCTATCACTAATAAATACAAATTTTATTGCTGAATAAGTTAATGATGGAATTAGTGAGGGAATAAGTCCGTTTATAAGAACACTGTGACTAATTCATTAGCGACAGAATTAACAATGAATTTTTTTCATTAAATAAGAATAAATTATTTTAACTCTGTGATGGAATACATATCTAATTCATTGCAAATGAAATTTCATAAAAAAAATGATTAATTGTATATATATTTTTTTCATTAAAAAATATAAGGCATATTTAAAAAATTAGATGTTAAAAAATACAAGATATTTTTAGTCTTTTGATATATAATTATTATTATTTTTTCAAAAGTGTTCCTATTAATAATGACTTTATATTTATTGTAGGATGTTTAATATGGATAAATATAAAAAGATATGGTTGATTTGAAAGTATGTAACTACTTTATTGAAGGGTGAGATTCGGTTAAAAATGTTTTATATTTTTGAACGGAAGGAGTATATATATAATATTAAACTAATGTGAATATAAAATCTAACCTTTCTAAAATGATGCATTATTTATAAGTCCTTAACTCGTGTTTTGGTTAATTCTTTAAATCTGTTTCTACTTTCTACACATTTAATTGCATTCTGTACTTTTGTTTTTATTTTTTCCCAACAATTTTTTTAGATATTTCAATGGATGTAAGTGTTCAAATATTATAGACAAAAAATTGTGCAGATATTAAATAGATTAGTACAATCTTTGAGAAACTTCGAATTTATTATCTCCCATAAGCATGTCATTCATAAATATATCTATTTAATTATGTAATTATCGAAAGTAGTATTATTGGGTCAAATTTATCAATGATATTATTCTCTAGGCAAGGATTTAATCGTGCAATTCTTATTCATATTTTAATATTTAAGGAAAATAAGTTTATTTTGGAATATGATTCCAGATTGATTATTTTATGCCAACTAATTTTTAACATAAATTAATCAAATCATCTTACTCAAATGAGTTGATAACGTTTTTAGCTCGTTAATAAATTTCTTTTATTTAAACAAAGTTTTCACAACTCCTTCTACCACACTTTAATATTATATTGAATTATCTCAAAGCAATAAGAAAGATTTCCAATTACTCAATCTTTTATGCGAGAAAAAATAGACTGTTTTTTAATATTTGTTATTATTTTAAGATTTAATGAGATAATTCAAACTAATATTTTGGAATATCATATTATATAAAAATTTATGTTATTTTAATATTTAATGAGATAATTCACAATTCATCTTTTACAAATATCATATTATTTAAAATTTGAAATCATTTCAAGATTTAATGAGATCATTCACAACTCATCTTTTAAAATATCATATTATTTTTATTTTTTGACCAATCATATCACTCCAACTGACTTTTAGAAGTCTATAAATAAGAGATTCCATAGATAAAAATCACCTTGTATCAAAAGCATAGTGTGAAGATCTAAACTTGGGGCAACATCAAGTATGTTTTTTTTTTAAGTATTATTTTAATAATATCCATGGACAATTCAAAAAATGTAATAAAGTTTATAATATAGAAACAAAATAATTATACCAACTTAGATTAAATATGAATAGTAATGGTAGGGGCCTCTTGACCCCTTAAGCATGATTATATGGTTCAATTGCTTGAGGTGTGTATGAAAAAACATTGTTTAAGAGAAATTTTTTTTTAAATAATATTTAAATTTCTTGAGAAATTAGTGTTATAGTTATTGACTGTAGGGATACCTTTAGCAATAAAAAAAAATATATGTGAATGGTAAATTCAAATGCATTATTCCATCACGTTAATGATATGATTTTTCAATGAAGACACACTGCACTGGAACCTCAACAAAAATAATCCAAACACAAATATGTCAGATGCAATAATACTATATTACAAGATTCAACAAAAAAAAATATATTCATTAATTTGATATATGTAAATTTTCGAGATAAAAGATTTATTATCTTTTCAATTTACGCAAATATTTTTTGGTATAAATTTATATTTTTATTGATTAGATCATTATATAGCTATTATATTGTATACTTTAAATTATCTATTTTTCATTATATTGTTGATTTATTCATTCTTATATATAAAAGTTCATGTTGCCCAGGAAATATTAATATTGTTCTCACAACAAACATCCTAATTCAAAGTCGAAATTGAAATCATGACATCTATTCAAGAAAACATTGAAGATTATTTCAACATCAATTTTAGAATTATTTCTTATGTGATTGCACCTGAGATAGAGCTTCATGAATCAATATCATTACCCTCTCAAGATGGAGGAAATCAAGACGGTAATCCTGAGTTGATAGAAGTGTATCAAGCTATAGAGCAATCCGTGCAACAATTTCCTACAAGACCAACTTCAAATAAGGCAGTAGCATCGCTCGAGAAATTGAAAATTTCCAATGATGAAATAAAGGCAAACTTGTGTAGCATTTGCTTAGAAAATTTTGAAGATGGTGAAGACACTTCAGCAATGCCATGCAACCATGTTTATCACCATGATTGTATCGTAACATGGCTCAAAACAAATCATACTTGTCCATTGTGTCGTTTTCAAATGCCCATAATAAGAATGCAAGGAAGGCTTGAAATAGTTTACATTTTGCCAATGATACCCTCCATGTATGTAATTCAAATTTTTCCTTGTGATCACCCACTAGCTCAAGGGTGAAGAGAGGGGGGGATCATTAGAGACCACAACCTCCTCTAACTTTTTAATTTTTTTTAGTAAAATGTAAGGTTATATATTTTTGACTCTCCTAAATTGGTATAATATAGAAATTATGAAACATTAGATAAAATTTTTATTTTAATTCTATATGTAGTCTTTATATATATATATAGAGAAACTATTTCAACAACTTAAAGATATGGCTGTCATTGGATCAACTCATTTTCATTCAAATAATGTTATACATGCTCTTAAAATATAGATATCACTTTATTTTGCTTTCATTTTATAATTATTATTAACAAACTTTGTTGCAATAATATCTATCATAAAATCACTTATCCAAAAGTTAATAGGTTTGGTGAAGATGTTCTTCTAAAAAAAAGTACTTTCTTTAAATAATCAAGTTATTGAAATTTCTTATATGAATAATTTTTATTCTGATATAATTTGATCTCATTGACATAAAAATTTTATGCAATTGAACATTTAAAGTGTTGATATATTTGTTTGCTATAATTATCAATTGAAAAATTAAATAGTAAATTTAATAAGCAAGTAATATAGCTTATTACACTGAACATAACTCTAGATTTTGATGATGTGTTCTAATCATTTAATGCTCATACGGGTGATAAAATTTTCATCAATTTAATAATAATTCATATTGAGAAGGAAATTGCTAAAACATTTATTCCAAATATAATATCTAATAATTTTTATACCATAAAAAACCAATGAGCAAAACTTAATATATATATATATATATATATATGTTGTCATACATGTGTAAAATTAAATATAAATATATATGTTGAAATATTTATATTATGTCGATGATATATATATAACTTTTCTTTAATTATTATATATACTTTGTCATTTTGGCCCTTTTAATAAAAATTTTTGGCTCCACCCTTGCACTAGCTATGAAGTTATTGCGACTAATTTGTATTTGATCAATATTATATTATATTTATTTATTAGACTTCTTCTGAAAGTTTTTCATCATCTTGCATGGAAGAAGTATATTTGACTTTGACATAAATATGTTAGAAACTTTAACAAAGAACAATTTTTAAATGTTGTAAGGACTTCATTGGATATTTTAGGAACATTAATATAAAACACATAGCACAGTTTAAAAATTCATGCTTGACCAGAAATAAACCAAACGATGAATTAAAGGACAGTTATATGGGTATACGTTTTTCAACTATTTTCTGTAGTCATATGAACCATTTGGATGAAGATATAAGGCACAATAAAAGTTAGAACTATGATTTGATATTTTCCCCATACCTTGTGCCTACATTTTTCGATAGCCACTCCATTAAATTGACAATCTCCATGGTGCTACGTGGAGGATCCCAGTAAAAAGTGTTCAAGAGATGAGGAAGTCCAGAGAAGAGGAATTGAATTACCAAGATCAAGATTCATATTTTCTTCATTTCTAAGTTGTCTGCTATCCTTATATCACATATTATTAATAAGAAATCATAATTTGTAAGTAGAGGTTTATTTAGTATGTTAAAAGATTCAATTACCATCAACCATCATGCCTTTAACAACTATATACTTCAACACTATCAAATCTGTCATGTTTCTTTTCCCCCGTTTTAGATACTG